GATATTAACGATAATAATAATAGTAATAATAATAGTAATTATAGCCTTAACCTTTAATTTTAACCTAATATTCTTTATTAAAAAGATAAAAAAAGTTAGCTATAAATATAATCTTTTTTATATTTTTTAGTTTATTAAAAGTGGCTTATTTTACCTTTATATAAAATTAAATTTTTATTAACTTTTAATGCTAATATCTTTTATCTTTAGGTAATAATTAATACTTTAAAGCTTTATAATAAATAATTCTATTATATATAATTTATAATAAATTAATAAGTAGTTATTAATATAATATTAAAATATTTATATTAAGATAATTACCTTATAAATATAAATATAAAAGATAATGTTATTAACTTTATATTTATTATATATATAAAATTAAATTAATTACTTTATTTATTATATAAAAACAAAAAACTATATAATAAGTTAATTTAATATAGGTAAAGTTAAAAAGTAAGTAATTTATGGCTAATATAATGGCGTTTTAATATTTATATAAATATTAATATTGGTTATTTATATGGTAAACTTACTCCTTATCTTTGGCAAAAGGGATTAGGGTAAATAAAAACTTTATTTATTTTAAGAAAAGCATAAGGGTAAAAATATTACCTTATATATCAAATATAAATTAAATAAAAGTAAAGTTAATAATATCCTTAAAATGTTATTAAATAAATTAAAGATTATATATATTATTATAAAAATACCTTATATAAATATAATGGTTATAAATAATTAAAGAAGTTTAATTAAAAATATAATTAAAGATAATTTTATATCTTATTTTAAGTTTATATGTGTTATAAGTAAACCAATAATAGGCCATATATAAAATATAAGGAATTACTTTACCTTCCTAAGGAATAATAATATAATTATTAGCTATAATAAAAACATATTAAGGATAATTTAAAGGTTTTAAGCTAAAGGATTATAAAGGAAAAGGATAAAAAAATATTAAAAGAAAGAAATTATTTATAACTATTTATAAAAATAAATAATTATTATATATTTAAAAATTAAGTGATAAGGGCTTAGTAATCTTTAAATATTATTAAAATAATATTATTAATTAATTAAATAATAGCTTTAATTAAAAATCTTAATAAAAAAAAAGATTAATTCTAAAAGGTAAATAAAGCTATTTAAATGAATAATCATTAAATTAATAATATATTAATAGTATTTTAATATGGTATAATTATAAGCCCTTAATATTTTAAAGATATATAAAAGCTTAAAGCTTTTACTAATAATAATAACCTTATTTTCTTTATTTTCTTTTACTTATTCCTATTAAAAGGGTAAGCTTTTAAATTAAAAAAATAATAAATAATGTAATTATATAATGTGGGCGGAAAGATATTAAAGCAGGGTAGATTTTCTTTAATAAAGCATAATTTTTACTTAAAGATTTATTAAATAGTAATATCGTATGCCTTTATAAGGTAAATGCCTATTTTAAGGTAATTTTATATATACATAAGCACATAAAATAAAAATAATAATAATAATAATAATTATTAAATTAATAATTATTATAATAATAATTATTATAATATATTAATATATAAATAATTATAATGCTTATAACTTTTTATATATTTTATTTATTTACATTTATTACTTTTTTTATTATATTAACTTTTAATTAACTTATATTTATTATTTTAAATATAAATAAGTTATAAAGCTTTTATTAAATATTTATACTATTATTTTAAAAACTTATAAATATTATAAATAAATTATAGTTATAATTATATTAATAAGAAAATTAAAAAAACTAATTAAAATATAAAAAATAATAAAAGTAATAAAGATAATAAAATTACTTAAAGTTATTTTATTATTAAAATAAATAAAAATAAATTTATTAAGTTTATTATTATATAAGTTATAATAATTAAATTATAATAAATAAGTAAAAAAATTAATATATTAATATTATATATAATATTATATATATAATAATTAAGGTATACTACGATTAATAAGTAATAACTATATTAGAATAGTAATAAATCGAATAAGCTCTCATATAAATTAGGTAGGAGTATATCTCTAATACTATCTCACATGCATTGTGGATAACCTGTACATTTAGGGTATTTTACCTGTACATTTAGGGTTACCGCCATCTGTGTGATAAATGGGACGCATAATTTAACTTGGGCACTCTAGCTAGGCACTACATCGTCGTGAGACTTTCAAATCTTTCGATTCCTACGCCACTATTTTACAATTTAGCCTTCGGAGATGCCTTTTCAATTGAACATAGACCGTCTCTCAGAGCAACTAATTCCTTTCTTAATATCTTCCCAGTTGCATTCTTGGGAAGTGCCTTAACTTCCCAGACTCCACCCCTGAGCTTCTTGTATCCGCTTACCTGACCGTCTATAGTTGTTTGAATTTCCTTGAGAGCCTTTATCTTCTCTTCCGAAGTTTTAAACTCGGTCTTCAATATGACCCAGGCACTTGGGAGCTCCGTTAACTGGCTCTCGTCCCAGATCGCGCCGACTCCGCCCTCCACCACATTGGGGTGCGCATTGATGTGGGTTTCCAGTTCCGCAGGCGACACTTGGAATCCCTTATACTTGATCAAGTCCTTTGTCCTCCCCACTATGCTTACTCTCCCCTCCGCGTCGATAGTGCACACGTCTCCCGTGTTATACCATCCCTTCATAGGAAATGCCTTCTTATTCGCCTCTTGATTGAACGCGTACCCTCGCGTAATATTCGGTCCCCTGAGCCAGAGCTCGCCCGGCTGACCTTCGGGAACGTCTTCCACACTGCCCTCCTTCTTCAGACACGCCTCGATATTCGGCAGCAATCTGCCCGTCACCCCGTCAGGTAGCGTCTCGCCGGCCTTCTGGTAGGCGACGTACCCGGCGGCCTCCGTCATCCCGTACACCTGTATGAGTCTCCACGGCGCCTTGCTCAGCAGCCGGTCTTTAAGGTCCTGCTTAAGCGGCCCGCCGACGTTGATGTACTGCGCGCGGGAGAAGTCGAAGCGGCTCGTGATATCCGAGTTGGCCATCTGCAGGACCACGCTGGGAACTCCTTGGAAAGTCGTGGCCTGGTTGGATCCGACCAGTTTTGCAAACTCCTCGAGGTTGTAGCTCGGCATCGCGTGGTGCAGCATCCCCGTATAGGGGCCTAGGAAAAGAGGTAGCGTTGTCATGGCGATGTGAGTCCATGGTGTGAAGGCTACGGTCCGGGAGGCTGGGTGAAATTGCTCTCGGTCGTGAGCGAGGAGTTGATAGCAGTTGGAGACGAAGTTGTAGTGCGTCAGCTCAACCCCTTTTGGCTTGCCTGTGGTGCCGGATGATAAGTGAATCGACGCGAGACGACCTGCTGTGTTAGGCCAGTGCGGGATTGGCAGGGACTCCGCTGAGATACAGTCCTCTGGCAAGTAAAGCAGGCCCCGTACTCGGCTGACAGTGGTTGTAACTTGAGGTATCCCCCAATTTATTCCTTGGTCAGCGAGCTCATTTTTAGCGATCTGGAGAGCCTCCTCGACAGCAGGAACTGTGACACCATATGAAACCACGAAATGCGGCCGCGAAACTGCAAGTCCATGACCAATCTCTGATGCTTTCAGCGCGTGATTTATTGGGCAGACCACGCCGCCCGTCCAGAGTATCGCATGAAATATCTCGAGGAAATCAACACTGTTAGGCAGGATGATGGCCCATCTGGCTTGGTCTTCCGGATTCAATTTCGACTTGAGTCCTTTCGCGATCCTACCAGCTCGATCGCGCAACTCTCCAATGGTTATGCTGCGATTTGTGAGGCTGTCTTTAGCTATCAAATGAGATTCTGGAAGGTCCGGGTACGCGGACTTATGAAGGAGCTCAATTAAGTTCAGGTTCTGAGGAATCTCAATAGTCCCTGAACGGTAGACTCTCGTCATCTTTGAGCACCCGACCCACGTTCGACAACCAGAGCTCAGCACTGAGCTAGAAAACGAATAAGGAAGGATATCGTCTTGTCACAACCTAGTTACTAGGCATTTATACTGGTAATCGCATTGTAGACTTTAATTTTTTTGACTTGAAATTAGGGAATTATTCCATCCATGAGTAGTACAAACGATATTGAGGTCTACGGGCTTATGCACCGTAAGCCCGTCTGAGGAAATTCGATTGCGCGCTGGTGAAGTATTCTTTTCGCAGGTACCCTCAAATGGTATGCACGCTCGGTAATACCACTTGAGTATAGTCAAATACAACTATACTATGTATAGGAGGGTAACATTCTATTGAACTGCATGCAATGTTACCATGCCCAGAGAATGGGATGAACTTAACCTAGTGAGTTCTTGGTGATCTTCAACTCAGGGGTATCAGTGGGTCGTGCTTATAGGGAGCTAAGGTACCTACAGTAGGCTTATATGCCCCTGCACTAATATGCTTGTAACAAAATTAACGATCACTGAGCCAGGTAGATACCACAAGGCGTACCTAGATGTTGTAGATCATCGCCTAGCTCCTCCACGAACCCAACTTACTCCAGAAGGATTTCATATGCTCTCCGAACCACTTTACGAAGAAATTCGATGCATATTCAGATCAAATGCGCTTAGAATATGGCGTTAAGAACTATGCCTCCCTCAAGAACGCAGGGGTTAGCTGTGAAAAAAAAAAAAAAAAAAAAAAAAAAGAGCTGAACAGACTGAAGCTCGGACGATGCCTCTCCATGAACCAAAGCGTCGACTAGTCTAGAACGATTTGCGCATCTTAGGACATCAATAGGCGATTGGCTTTCCCGCGTCCATTTCCCAATTGGTTAATTTGGGGCTGGTTGGAGGACCATGATGCCTGCTGCAAGGTACCTACGTACAGCGTACAAGCGCTACCGGGAACCGGGACTTACAGGGGATCATCCGGCAGCTCGGAGGCACCGTCTTAATAGAAGTGAGTCTTCGTGGTAGGTAAGGTATCTACAGTAGCCATCTCATCCTACTGCTGATGAAGTAGTCTGAGATGGCGTCGGCTAATACGGTTCGACCAAAACGACCCATTAGAATATGTAATACAGCCGGTGCTATCGGCGACAGTATCGACCAGGTATACGTACCAACTCGCCAAATCCAGGGAGGTGGACGCGATAACCGCCGACTACCTAGCCGAGTTCAATATTGCGTGGAAAGCCATTGAGCTCCAGAACCACCCTGATCTGGGCTTCGAGCCTAACTTTTTGGAACAGTTGGCATGGGAAGACGGCGAGGCCGCCAGACTACTGGCTGAAAATCGCATCAAGGTCGTCCACGATGGAGGCGCATTGAATCCGATAGGTTTAGCTACCAAGGTAGACTCGTACTTCAAGAGACTCGGGTTGCATGATGTTCGAGTTGCGGCAGTGACTGGCGACGATGTTACCGAATATCTGATTAGGGGTGATTTTGGCGACTCAAGACATTTGGATCAGCAGAACGTAGTTCTTGATCAGGGCCAAGGGAAGATATTGGTAGCCAACGCGTATACCGGACAAGCTAGTATTGTGCGCGCCCTCGAGGAAGGCGCCGATATTATCATTAACAATAGATACATGTAAAGACCAGCTGCTATACGAGATTCAAGGACCTATATACCTTAACCCCGATGTTGTCGCCAATATCGAAGAAGCCCGCCTCGAAGAGGTCGGCAAAGATAGGGTACTTTTGACCGGAATTCGAGGCGCCTCCAACCGCTAAGCTTGCTGTCTGCCTCCAAGGTGGGTGGCAAGCAGAACTATCTGGATTTTGTGCTGGACTCGACACCGACTTTAAGTTTCAACTCATGAAAGACCAGGTGATGCGACAGATCAACCCAGCCGATTTCACTACTTTTAGTATTGAGAAATACGGATTCTCAAAGCCAAAACCGTCTTCCGAGAAGGAGTGCACGGTACATATACGTTTATTTGCCCAGTCCCTCCGAAAGGAGTCCTTGGTCCAGTTCAGACGAGCTATATTCTATAATGGTATGCAGGGCTATTGTGGCCTTCATCTGGCCATGGATCGGAGAACTACCTATGGAACCGAGACCACATGTGAAATTCTTTCCGGCTCTGATACCACAGTCCAAGATTCATCTCGCCGTGCATTTTATTGGCGACGACACCAGAACTGTAGACGTTCCTCCTAACACTTTATCCGCATATGCGACGTCTGTCCCTCAGCAGCGAAGTTACGAGCCGACAGGGCCGTATAAAGGCAGTTCCTCTTATACAGTTACGAGGCCACTCGGGGACCTAGTTTTCGCACGCAGTGGCGATAAAGGAGGAAATGCGAACGTAGGCTTCTGGGTAAGAGACGAGAAGGCCTGGCCCTGGCTATGCTCGTTCCTGACCAGTGCTAAGCTAATTGAACTACTCGGTGATGACTGGGTCAATAACTAGGTACTTTAGGTAGTCGAGCGCTGTGAGTTCTCTAACCTTTGGGCTGTGCATTTCGTCGTTAAGGGCATACTGCAAGAGGGTGTTAGTAGCAGCAGTGTTCTTGATGGGTTTGCGAAGGGATTGGGCGAATTTCTTCGGGCAAGGCATGTTGAATTGCCGGCAGATCTCGTAGAGCTGGAAGACTACCGGCGTAGGAAGGCCAGGGCTATAAAATTGTCACATTAGGAGCTATGGAATATGAGATATGAAAAATGACGATCGTAAGTTTGTCCTCCGCATTCACCAAACCCCTGTAAATAGCGGCGTTAGTGTAAGATACAGGCCGCTTTTAGCATTCTAGTTAGGGGTAATAATCACCTACGGTCCTAATTTTCCAGGCTCCCAAAGATGAGACATTGCTCTACAGAGCTGACGATCCCTCGACTCCGAAGCATTTCTATTTTCGCTTCATGGTATAAACATTGTTACTGCTGTAGCTTCCATCTTATATCATTCTACACATAGCTATGGCCAGCGACGAGCCAGATACGATAATGTTGACTTCCGCAAAGCAGTGGGTTTCAAGTATCCTCCCATAAAATGTTCCTACAACCGCCGAGACGTGCTTCTCTTTGTAAGTCGTGCAGCTTTCACAATTATAATTGACAAGCCAAACTTACCAACGAGTAAATCGTAAGGCGAACGCGATTGGGGTCCAGCAAGATGAGCTACATCTTTTGTATGAATTGCAACCCAAGTTTGCCATGTTCCCAACTTTTCCGGTCAACCTCGCATACAAGAGAACGGACCAAGATGTCTTTGACTTTATTGCGCGCAACATAACTGGTACCTCTCCGCAGCGTATAAGCTGTAAAATTAGGTACTAATGTGTCGAAAGCCGACGTACCGGGGGTGCCACCGTTTGTTCCGCAACGCTCAGTTGACGGAGAGTCCACTACCCATCAGCTCCGAGGGGCTAGACTGAGAAATACACAACAAGGTGATTGGTGTCTATGATAAAGGTTCATTCAACTCTTAAAAGCCCCATCTACTCTCAACACATTTCTAGACTGACACTAGGTGACTTCTAAGGAGGAGCGATGATACTGGAGTCCGAGGGTGAGTTAATAGACGTTAAAACAAACATGGCCTATGTCAAGCCGTCGTCGACCTCCTTCGGGATAGGCCAAGGAGGATATGGAGGCCCGAGGGGACCGTCTAAACCCAGCACTTCCATCCCAAAGCGTGCACGAGATGCTGTACATACATTCAAGACTTCACCTGAAGCCGGTCTGCTGTACAGGCTATGTGGCGACTACAACCCGATGCATGCAGACGACGAAGTCGGGAAACAGGCTAGCTTCAAGGGGGCCATTCTGCAAGGTCTAGGTACTTGGAATATCGCCGCCCACGGACTTCTGCGAGAACTTGGGGACTCTGATCCGGAGAGATTGAAGTTGTACAGAGCTAGATTCAAGAGCGTCGTGTATCCAGACGACGAACTAGAAACTAGGATGTGGATTGTGAAGTCGGAAGGCGGATTCGACCACATAGTCTTCGAGACTATTGTCAAGGATGATGGTCGGGTCGCTCTGTGTAATGGGTATGCTAGATTAAAACAAAATAAGAGCATCCATGGATGCTGTGAGAAATACCTACAATAGGCAGTTAGGGGACGAATAAGAGTGTAATGCAAGTAGAAAATTAATAAGAATCTGTTGAAAGCAACTCTGTTTTCGTTATAGATGTGATGGAAGCCATTTCGGCTTCCTATACGCCGCCAGCCCTTCCGCGGCATTCTTACTCTTGAGCATCGCCTCAGCGTAGATCTCCTGTCCTCTCATCGTAGCACGACTGATACCCGTCTCCCACGCCTCCCTTGCCGCAAGTAGGGATATTATAACGCTATCCGGGCACAGTGCAACAATCCCAGAAGCGTAATCTAAAGCTCTCTCTAACAATTTATCCTGGGCACGATCTCCTTCACCAATCCCCACTGCACGGACTCCTTAACACTTAATACTCGCCCCGTCAGGCAGAGATCCATTGCTCGGTGGTTGCCGAATAGGACCCTCCGGCAGTCGAAAACTAGCGTTCGGGGAAGCAAATATGACGTCTGCGTTCAACACGATCTCAAACCCGCCAACTAAACCACGAGATTAGTTTACCCATCTCAATAAGTACCTACCTTCCAAAAGCACAACGAAAAGAAACCCGCGTACCATGTGCATGTCCATTGTACAAGCCACGATCATAGGCTTCTTCCCCGTGCGGTTGCTCGTGCCGCCGAAGCGGTACTCGATGGCGACGTCGCCGGTCTCCAAGATGGCGAGGCGCTGTTTGAGGTCGATGCCCGTGCAGAAGGCCTTGTGACCCGCACCCGTGAATACGGCGCAGCGCAGCTCGGGCCCCGAGTCATACCATTTGCACAGCGACCCTAAATCGATGGTGGCTTCGACCGGTAGGCAGTTCATGTGCTCTGGCCGGTTGATGGTGACTAGTAAAATGTGCTATCGCGGAAAGGATATTATGCTGTGTTGCACGTGTGGATAGGGGTTCTTGATCCATGACGGCACTGGGTTCTTGGTTCGGGGGCGGACATTATGGTTAGGGCGACGGTAAAGGTGGTGATGGTAACTAACGTAGGTACCTAGGTAGGTTACTGTTGTGGCTCTATCATACGTTACAGAAACTAGTTCGCAATATGCATTGATTGAAGAATCATTACGGCACGTATCTTGACTACTGGATCTGCTTTACGGTATTGAGGCTTAATCTGGGCGCCAATGAAGAGGTTGTTTCATCTCCATCAAAGCTATCAACATTTCGCTTCATAATAATTCTCCTTTTCAATGCTGCAGCACAAAGGTCTCTCTGCGGCCTTGGCAGTAGGATGATTTTCCTGGGGTACCCAGCAGCGCTGACAGGATGGTAGTATTGCAGTCGCTTAGTGGACCCGGCAGCCCTAGCAGGAGCTGGTGAGCTTCCGAATCTGCATAAGCGATTCATCGACCCCGGCTTATTATAATATAATAATGGCAGGGTCATTTACTTTAGGTCATAGAGACCCACGATCCCAAATGTTTAACCTCGTGAAAATACGCTCGATATTGTGTTTTCGCGTGGTACCTTGTAGAATTGCTGGCATCCCGCGTAGCAAGATTGGGACTGAGAGAGTCATGTTATTACCAGCCAAGGTGTCAGCACGACCCGCACGCTAGCATACGGATAGGCAGAAGATCATCACAGATTGGGCGATCTGCTTTGAGGAAGAGGCTTTCACAGGTTCACAATATCACATCGGATCCATCTTCTTTTTCGTTGTTGAAGTTGTTACAACTGGGATCTGCAATATTACAATTACACCCTTCACGATGGCGCCAACAGAGACACCACCACCGCCAACACCGACTTTCCTAAAGCTATCGTATCCGGCACCCCGTGTGCTCCTGGTACGAATGGATCGCCCAAAGGACTTAAACGCAATGTCCACGGCGGCGCAATGGGAAATGGATTCCGTCTGGGAATGGTTCGACCTCGAGCCTCTCTTAAGCGTCGCCATCATCACGGGGACCGGCCGCGCCTTCTCAGCAGGAGCTGACCTAAAAGAATGGAACAGCTCCATGTCCGACAATGCGAATCCAAAGAATCGCATGGGGAGCTCGCCAGCATTTAAGCCATTAAGCCGTCGCCTCGGCAAGAAGCCTGTTATCGCAGCGGTAAACGGGTTGGCGATGGGCGCCGGGTGCGAGTTTGTCGTTAATTGCGACCTTGTCGTCGCCGCCGAGGACGCTTATTTTGGGCTGCCGGAGGTGAAGAGGGGGGTTGTTGCGATCGGCGGCGCGCTGCCGCGGCTGATACGCAGCATAGGGCTACAGAGGGCATCTGAATTCGCACTTACGGGTCGCAATGCTACGGCGCAGGAGATGTTTCAATGGGGCATAGTCAACAAGGTGGTACCAAAAGAGCAGGTAGTGGATGAGGCCATCAAATATGCCGAAATGATCGCGAAGAACAGCCCCGACGCAATCATATGCACGCGTGCCGGCCTGAGGCAAGGGTGGGAGACGGCTAGTGTGGAAAGAGCTGTGGAATGGACGCTCGAAAAGGAGTTTGCGGAACTACAAAGGGGAGAGAATATACTAGAGGGCCTGAAGGCATTTGCCGAAAAGAGAGAGCCTCGGTGGAAGGTGAGCAAGTTGTGAGATTACACTACAATACCTTCCATAATGGGATTGAGTCAGGAGACACCTTTGAATAGTTCAATTACGAGTCAGGAAGGACAAGAAAACAATTCTGGAACGGGTATGCATCAGCATTCCAGATGTGTTCTGGGCCAGGGTATATGGTGATCGTAAAAAAAAATAAATAATAAAGCGACTGTAGGATCGCAAGTCGGCTTCGTGGTTCTCGACGGAATTCGTACATGATGGGCATATGAGAACTAAATCGCCTATCGAGATGATC